TAAGTTAGTAGAATGTCTAGAAGGAAAGCTTAAAAAATTTTCTCTAACTGTAAAATACTTTACAAAGAAAAGCTACTCAATAGATAAGACCAAGCTTCTTTTCTAAAAAGGAGTATTCCCATATAACTAGACAAACTCATGAGAAAATTTGACAGAACAAGCCTCCCATCTAAAAAGAATTTTTATTCGATTCTTAGTCAACAAAATATTAGTAAAGAGAATTATGAATATGCACAAAAAATATGGCAAATATTTGAAATGCAAAGTTTTAAAGAGTATTATGATCTTTATCTCGAAACTGATGTAGTTTTACTTGCAGATATTTTCATGAACTATACTATCATATGCTTAAAAGATGATGGCTTAGATCCTTCTCATTATGTATCTGCACCAGGAATGTTTAATGATTCCTTATACAAAAGTAGTAGAGCCGAACTTAAGCTCATGACAGATATGGACGAGTACTTGATGGTTGAGAAGGGTATTCGTAAAGGAATAACAATAGCAAGTTATCGATATACCAAAGCAAATAATCCACAATATCCAGACTATGAGCCCAGCAAGCTGAAGTCCTGGGCCTTATATGAAGATATGAACGCTTATACTCAGATACAATGACCCAATACATGCCCACAGAAATTCTAGGTAAGGTAAGTCCAGAGAAAGTACCAAATATCCAAAGTATTGTACCAGATGCAAAAATAGGATATACACTTGAAATTGATCTAGAAGCCCCAATGCACTTGTACGATTACTTTGCAGATTATCTCTTAGCATCAGAAAAGCAGATAGTATCAGAAAACTGGCTTAGTCTATACAATAAAATATTAGTGCATGATAAAAACGTTGAAGAAGAGAAATATATATCTGAAGAGAAGCTAGTTCAGACCCTTTTACTAAGAAGAATTATGTAGTTCACTACCAAGCTCTTCAGATATATATGAAGTTCAGAATGAAGGTTACAAAAGTTTATAGCGCTCTTAAGTTTAGACAATCTCTGTGGA